GTTTCTTTAATCTCTTAATTTTGTTGCTCTAGATTACTTTTAGTTAAATATTCATACTTTAGATAATCGCTTGAATAGATTAATGTCTTAGTTTAATTTATTTGATAATTAATCACAAGTCCATGTGGGTACGATATCTGGACTTACAATCTTATATTACTTGTCGACCACGTATACTTGCTTATGCGTTTTGGAGCAACAAGGTGCCTCTTCATAAGTCAAGACTTCTTTAATTTCTTCGGTATCGGCAGGTATTATATGTGACTCATCATGAATGTACTTTCTAAGAATGGACACATGAAAGACAGGATGAACAGAGGACAATTCAACAGGCAACGCTACATTTCCCTTCTTTTCTGCAATCTCATAAGGTCCGATAAACCTAGGACTAAGTTTCCCTTTCTTACCAAACCTCATAACTCCTTTCATTGGTGAAACTTTCAAAAACACATTGTCACCAACCATGAACTCTAAGTCACGATGCCTCTTGTAAGAATAGGACTTTCGACGACTCTAAGCCGCTTTGAGTCTTTCTCTTATTAGCTTAACTTTCTCTAAGGTGTCACAAACAAACTCTGGACTAATCAACAGCACCTCTACTGGTTCAAACCAACCCACTAGAGACCTACATCTTCGCTCATACAACATTTCATAAGGAGCCATACCAATGCTGACCCGATAGCTGTAATTGAAATTCTATAAGTGGAAAGTGATCATCCCAATTACCTCCAAAATCTACAACACATGCACGCAACATATCTTCGAGAGTCTGAATGGTACTCTCTGCCTGGCCATCGGTCTGTGGATGGAAAGCGGTGCTCAAATTGACCTTCTGTGGATGGAACACCTAATCTTTTCAGAAATGCCTGCCAATAATGCGCCGTGAACTGAGGGCCTCTGTTAGAGATGATTGAAACTAGAGTACCATGCAATCAGACTATTCCTTTGATGTACAATTGCGCATACTGATCTGCAGAATCTATCGTCTTTACTGGTAGGAAATGCGCGGACTTTGTCAGTCGGTCTACAATAACCTAAATTGAATCATGCTTACGATATGTGCGAGGCAGACCTACTAAGAAATTCATATTAATCATCTCCCATTTTCACTGTGGTATCTCTATATCCTGAGCTAGGCCACCAGGCCTCTGATGGTCGGCTTTGACTTGCTGGCAATAGGCGTGGGCATCAGTCGGTTCGATTCAGTTATGAATATTATCGGTTTTGCCTATCGGTTATCGGTTTACAAATATCATAACCCGCTAACCAAACCGATAAGATATTGGTTATCGGTTATCGATCATTAACGGTTCGGTTATCGGTTTACCCAATAAGACAAAACAACTAAAATAGTTTCGCAATGTATAAAACTGTTTCGCAATGTATAAAACAGTTTCGGTATAAAACTGTTTTGCTAAAACAGTTTTATAAGATTTTAAGAACTGTTTTGCTAAAACTCTTTTCAGAATTGTTCTATTTCACAAGAATTTAAATTTACTGCAACATCCAATAAAATAAACTCTAACCAAAGTTTCTATCTTTCATTCTTCAACCCAAAAAATATAAACAAAAATCCCAATATCAGTTAGTGACGAAAAAACAGGATAACTTTGTAACAGCTCAACAATTAAAGCACACGACAAATCTCACTTCAGCTTTCAAACAAACTAAGAAAAATCCAGAGCCAGAATGCTTTCAAACAAACTAAGAAAAAGATGAAGATGAAGCAACTAAAAACTTACACGAAGAATCAAGATGAAGCTGAAGAATGCGGCTGAGAAATGCGACTGAAGAGTGAAGAAGATGCGACTGAAGAATCAAATGGATCTGAGAAATGAAGTGAAGATGCGACTGAAGAGTGAAAGAAAGAAGCTGAGAAATGCGACTGACGCCGTCCTGAGTCTTGATGGGCTGACTGGTGAGGGCGTGATGCGACTGACGCCGGCCTGAGTCTTGACGGGCTGACTGGTGAGGGCGTGAGGCGGAGAAACTGAGAAACAATAGGGAAATCAAAGAGTGAACTATGAAGTATGAATTATGAAACCTTAGTATGTATATACTTAAGGGTAAACTAGTAAATTAGTTAATCCTTATTGGGTTATCGGTTTTACCCAATAACAGAATTGCCAAACCGAGCCCGAACCGATAACCCAATAAAAAAAATTTTAACTCGTTACCGAACCATTAACCCAATAACCCAATACTGATAACCCAATAAATAATTAACGGTTTGGGTTATCGGTTTTACCCGATATATGCCTACCCCTAGCTGGCAATTCAAACATTTGGCCACATGATCTGCTACTTGCTTCTTCATGCCTTTCCATCAATACAACTCTTTCAAGTCCAGATACATTTTGGTAGCACCTGAGTGGATAGAGTACCTCAAACTGTGAGCTTCTTCCATTATGGGGAGATTTTTAAAAATAGCCAGATTTACAACTGGTCGTTCAAAAATAGCCCAATTTCAAAAGTAATCGAAATTTAGCCACTTTTTATGTAAAGATAAATTTGAGCGAAAACACTGTTCAAAACCCGGAAAATACTCCAGTATATTATGCTGGAGTTCCAGCATAAGTATGCTTGAACTCCAGCACATTATACTGGAGTTCCAAGATAAGTATGTTGGAACTCCAGCATAATATGATGGAGTTCCAGCATAAGTACACTAGAACTCCAGCATAATATATTGGAGTTCCAGCAAGTATAATTGTCCAGTATAATATACTGGAGTTTGGAGCACCGGTGCTCCAGTCTCCAGTATATTATACTGGAGCCAGCAAAGTATACCGGTCCAGCATAATATGCTGGAGTTCATACACAGGTGCACCGAACTCCAGTATATTATGCTGGACCGGTCTCTGTTGCAGCAAAACGGTGGCTATTTTTCATTGACTTGGTAAACGCTGGCTATTTTTGATTGACCAGTCCAAAAACTGGCTATACCGTGAAATTTTGCCTCCATTATGGCCTTCCTAAGCCCATCTACATCGGGCACACATAACCGATCATTCAACTTCAAAACTCTATCACTTCCTAGAGTGAAAGCAGTGATTTCTTTGTTTCTGACTCCTTCTTTTAACTTCACTAAGTATGGATCTTCGTCTTGCTTAGACTTAACATGCGCAACAAGAGAGGATTGTAGTAAGGCATAAGCAAGTATACCTCCTTCTTCGGCCTCATCCAATCTAATTCCATCATTTGCTAGTTTTTGAATTTCTCGACCCAAAGTTCGTCTTTGTACTGCAAGATGGACCAGGACACCCGTTGACTTCCTGCTAAGTGTATCTGCTACCACATTAGCTTTGCCCGGGTGATAAAGGATATTGATGTCATAATCCTTCAATAGCTCGAGCCACCTTCTCTGTCTCAAATTTAATTCTTTCTGCTTGAAAATGTATTGGAGGCTTTTATGATCCGTAAACACTTCAGAATGCTCGCCATAAAGGTAGTATTGCCATATCTTTAATGCAAACACCCACTATTGCAAGCTCCAAGTCGTGTGTGGGGTAGTTCTTCTCATGATTCTTTAACCGTCTGGAAGCATAAGCAATAACTTTTCCATCTTGTATAAGAACACAACCGAGACCAACTCTGGAGGCATCACAATACACTGTGAAACCACCCGAATCTGTCAGCAAGGTTAACACAGGTGCAGTGGTCAACCTCTTCTTTAACTCTTGAAAAATCTGCTCACAAACATCTGACCGCTGGAACTTAACTACTTTCTGAGTCAACTTAGTTAATGGAACTGCAAGTGAGGAAAACCCCTCTACAAACCTTCTATAGTAGCCAGCTAACCCCAAGAAACTCCTGATTTTGGTTGGCGTTATCGGCCTTGGCCAATTCTTGACTGCTTTTGTCTTCTGAGGGTCTACTTTTATGCCTTCACTAGACACCACGTGGCCTAAGAATGCCATTGACTGCAACCAGAACTCACATTTTGAAAATTTGGCATAAAGCTCATTCTCCTTCAAGGTCTCCAAGGCTATTCTGAGGTGTTCTGCATGCGCATCCTTGCTCTTAGAGTACACCAAAATATCGTCTATAAACACGATAATAAAGGTATCAAGGAATGGCTTGAAAACTCTGTTCATGAGGTCCATGAATGCAGCTAGAGCATTTGTCAACCTGAAGGACACTACTAAAAATTCATAGTGCCCGTAGCGAGTTCTAAAGGTTGTTTTAGATATAGCCCCTTCTATGATTCTCAATTGATGGTACCACAACCTCAAGTCTATCTTTGAAAAGTACTTTGCACCCTGAAGTTGACCAAATAAATCATCAATCCTTGACAGTGGATACTTGTTCTTAATGGAAACTTTACTCAACTACTGATAGTCCACGCACATTCTAAGAGACCCATATTTCTTCTTAACAAACATGATCGGGGCACCCCACGATGAAACACTCAGCTTGATAAAGCCCTTGTCAAGGAGGTCTTTCAACTGTTCTCTCAACTCATTAAGTTTTGCTGGAGCCATCCTATGAGGTATAGATACGGGCCGAGTGCCTGGCATGAAATCGATGCCAAAGTCTATGATTCTTTCAGGAGAAGTCCAGAAAGGTCCTCTGGGAAAACTTTTGGAAATTCTGTAACAACTGGCACAGACTAAAGAGCTGGTGATTGTGATCCTGTATTAATAATGTGAGCCAAATAAGCGAGACACCCCTCTTGATCATTCATTGTGCCTTAAGGTAAGAAATAAACTTACCTACAAGTGATGCTGAACTACACTTCCACTCTAAGACTTTTTATTTGGAAATTGGAACCTGACTATCTTGACACGACAATCTAACATGGCATAGCAGGAAGACAACCAATCCATACCCATGGTCACATCGAAATCCACCATTTCTAACTCTATGAGATCGACCTTGGACTGAAACTATACAACCTCTATAGACTCTTGTTGTTTTCACTAACTCAAAATACCTCTCTAGTAGACAAGTAGTACAAGCAATAGTAAAGACAAGCTCACCAGCAGTACAGAGAAACATCACCAACTTTAACCAATCAATTACGGGGAGAGAACCTTAATCTCAATTAAAATAAAATGTTGAAGGCAAAGTCGCTGAGCATATGTCAGCCAAAGTGCAAAATGTTACATGAATTTAACCTAAAGTTACTGCAGAGTACCATTCTTTAAAAGAAAGGGCAAACATGCTGATAACAATAGGGATAAGCAGATCTATCCCGCGAAAGAAACATCAGTAAGTACATAAGTGCTCTAGACATTGTTGAAGTCTATATTGACAAAAACATAGCTGCAAAAATCATGGATCTCGCATTCAACCCTGCAATAACAAGAATGTTAGAACTTTAGAGCTAATAAAAGTGACAAATAAAACCAAATGTGATAATGAGTGCGTCCACACCTTGTTTGCAATGTTGTTTGAGAGCCAGTCAAGCCCCTCATACAACCCTTCTCCAGAGGTAGCGCAAGTGCTCTGAATGTACCTGTGTCACGCAAGGTCATAGATTCAGCATTTGGTAGCACATGAGAACCATGGTAATCTCCAGCCATGCTCATTATACACATAAACTTAAAACATCTTGCAATTAAAGAAGCACCACATAGCACATACCAGTGACGTTGACGGAGAGAATGAAGACCAAGCTTGTCAGTAATCTCAGCAGCATTCATAGCATTTGGAAGATCTTGCTTGTTAGCAAACACAAGCAGCACAGCATCCCTCAGTTCATCCTATGCATACATTGGCAAAAGTCATTCAGAATAGGACACAAGTGAAAGGAACCAACACTAAGAATGTTAACTAAAACAGGAAGTGGGTAAATACAGATCATTTCAGACTTTCAAGTGCTCCGTAGACACATTTCTGGATATCTCTTCTGTATACATCAGACATGGGCCCCAAGACTCAATATAGTCTTAACTGAAAAAAAAAAGAGAGCCATGATTTTCATACCTCATTCAACATCCGGTGCAGCTCATCTCTAGCCTCAACAACACGATCACGATCATTACTATCGACCACAAAGATAAGTCCTTGTGTGTTTTGGAAGTAATGCCTCCACAATGGTCGGATCTGGAAATACAAGAAATTTGAAAGGGAACAATAGGCAACACAAAGTATGTCAACTTCCGCAAAAAGTCATGTCACGGTATCAAAAGATCTCCATCACATGTCTTAAGAGTAGATAAATAAAATAACCCTTGATCATACATCTAATAGAAGTCCTTACAGCTGCAGATTCTAGGTAAGCCAGTACTTGATAGCAGCAGAAAAGGCAAGCATTTGATAATAGAGAAAAAAGATGATTTCTTGGTTTTATGTTTCAACTTTTTGGTGAGTGGGAATATCGAGCAAGTATAGCAAAAAAAACAAGCTTGGTGAACCTGAAACACTAGTACAAGAAAGAAAACATAATTCCAATACCAGAAATGCTCCTTTATCTTGCAACTTGAAATAAGGTCGGTATGAAAGTCAGATAAAATCAAAGTAGAACTTGCAATGTATCTTCAATTGTTTAACAAACTAATGTTAAATACCGTAGATAGCATAGCACTTTGATATCATATGGCATTAAGTACCTTGTCCTGACCACCAACATCCCAGACAGTGAAGCTTATGTTCTTGTATTCAACAGTCTCCACATTGAATCCTGATAAAGAATGAGTAATTGCAGATAGTATTAATAGCAATAGCTGGCTAGAATCAACTCAACTATGGCAAACATTTGCAAGACAATCATATTACTAAAAACAGAGGACATAGTTGTAATGGTAGAAAGTTATTTACAATTTTTTTTTTTTTTTGATTCGGGAGTTATTAACTAACATTTTTAGGTTAGTTCTAGCATATTAAGTATATATTGTAGAAAGAAAGACCAATCACTCAGGTAACCGACTTGAGCACCTCTATCCCTCCACTCCCGGGACGTGCTAT